TCGAATTTATTCATTGTATTCATATAGGATCAAGGAGTGTAACTCTAAAAAATAATCAAAATCGGAGTTAAAATAACCGTTAAATATAAATAGTGATTTTTTGTTTTATAACCGTCAAAACGTTTTATCCATTACTTGATCTCTAAATGTTTGTTTTTTGCAATTTTTGGCGTATGCGATCTCGAACTATATACAAACATGTTTGACGGTTGGATCGTTGAAACTAGTTTCGTATAATACATATCCCATCAAAACAATAGATTTACTAACACTTAAAAGAGTTTATTCATACTTTTATTAAGTATAACATACTAGTGTAAATATTTTAAATTGAAGATTGAATTCATTCGTTGTATTCATATAGGGTCAAGGAGTGTAGCTGTAAAAAAATCATCAAAATCGGAGTTAAAATCACTATTAAATCGTGATTTTTCGTTGATAACCGTCGAAAAGTTTTGTCTTGTTACTTGATCTCTTAATGTTTATTTTTTACGATTTTTGGCGTATGCGATCTCGAAGCATATACAAACAAGTTTGACGGTTGAATCGTTGAAATTAGTTTCATAGAATGCGTATCCCATTACAACGATAGATTCACTAACCCTTAGAGTTTATTTATACTTTCATTAAGTATAACATAAGATTTGTGGTATCCACAAGTGTAAAAATTTTAAATTGAAGATTGAATTAATTCATTGTATTCATATAGGAGTGTAGCTGTAAAATAAACATCAAAATCGAAGTTAAAATAACCGTTAAATCGTGATTTTTTGTTTATAACCGTCGAAAAGTTTTGTCTCGTTCATTGATCTCTGAATGTTTGTTTTTTGCGATTTTTGGTGTATGCGATCTCGAAGCATATACAAATACGTTTGACGGTTGGATTGTTAAAATTAGTTTTGTAGGATGCGTATCCCATCAAAACGATAGATTCACTAACACTTAGAGTTTATTTATACTTTCATCAAGTATAACATAAGATTGTGTGGTATCCACTAGTGTAAATATTTTAAATTGAAGATCAAATTCATTCATTGTATTCATATAGGATCGAGGAGTGTAGCTATAAAAAATAATCAAAATCGGAGTTAAAATAACCGTTAAATCGTGATTTTTCGTTTTATAATCGTCGAAAAGTTTTATCCCGTTACTTGATCTCTGAATGTTTGTTTTTTGCGATATTTTGCTGATGCGATCTCGAAGCATATACAAACAAGTTTGACGGTTGGATTGTTGAAATTAGTTTTGTAGAATTCGTATCCCATCAAGTTCAATGGTATATATATATATTTATTAAGTAGATTTAAATTTATTTATTATGTACGTATAACACTTAAGAAATTGAATGGTATGTATATTTAAGCCGATCCAATGGTCACCAATTTTTTAAATTTAATTTAATATATATATATAATTTTTATAATTTTTAGGGGTATAAAATTGTTAAATTAATATATATATATATATATGTATAATTATTATAGTATTTTTTAGGGTTATATAATTATAAAATTAATATTTTGCTTATTGTGTATCGTATTACCTACGTGTATCCGAACCAACCCGTTATCTTAACAGGTGCTTATTGGGTTACCCGATAACCACCCAATTCGTTATTGTGTCGACCCGAACACCTGTTAATTTCGTGTTGTGTCGTGTTAGGAATTGCCAGGCCTACTAAAAACCTTCTAGCAAACCCTAGAATTCTCTAAGAAGAAAAAGAGTAAATCTTTTGGCAACAAAATGAATTTGCCTAATCAACTAGGCTTTGGAGCTGGTATACTCGACGTTGTACATTTGTAACCATCACTTTTGGTTCTCACGTTCTCTCTCCAATCCATTTCAACAAAAGAAATTTGCCTAGTCAACTAGGCTCTTGGAGCTCTTATACTCGACGTTGTAACCGTCACTATTGCTTCTCTCTCTCTCTCCAATCTGGCAATCTCTCCCATTCCATCTTTGAGAAAAAAGACTCTCTCATCTCTCCCATTTCCTCTCATAGAATAAGCTCTCAACGATTGGAGAATAAGCTCTCATTAGTTTACTTGAATTTTTTTCGATAGATTTCGTCTCTCTTCCGGTCTTTGTATTCTTATTTGATCTGGATCATATATCTATATTATAGTTTCTGAAATTTGATTTGTTCGAATAGGTTTGCTATTTCTTGGTGCGTTTGATTATGAAATTTAATTTGTTTAGTTCAATTGTTCAACTACTATTCTTGGTGCGTTTCATTTTGAAATTTCATTTGTTCGAGTAGGTTAACTATTTCTTGGTGCGTTTCATTCTGAAATTTCATCTGTTTAACTAGGTTTGCTATCTCTTGGTGCATTTGATTCTAAATTTCATTTGCTTGACTAGGTTTGCTATTTCTTGGTGCTTTTGATTCTGAAATTTGATTTGTTCAATTCAATTGTTCAACTAGGTTTGCTATTCCTTGGTGCATTCCATTCTGAAATTTCATTTGTCTGACTAGGTTTGCTATCTCTTGGTGTGTTTTATTATGAATTTCATTTGTTCGACTAGGTTTGCTATTTCTTAATGTGCTTGATTGTGAAATTTGATTTGTTTAGTTTAATTGTTCGACTAGATTTGCTATTTCTTGGTGAGTGCAATGTCTCTACAAATTCCCGTGAAGACATATCTCTACAGAGGCAAGATTCACAGAAAAGTGTATTGTTGAAACTACCTCTTCCACAACGCAAGGTGTATCCAAATAATTTGTTTAAGGAGACGGAGGTTGGGACTTACACTCGAGAAAAACGAGCAAACTAAAGCTTGAGGAGTTGGAGGACTCAGAGGAGTCCAAGGATTCAGAGGAGTCGGAGCTTAGGCGATCATTCTGCTGTGAGGAGCTAACTTTCAGAATGATTGCCTAACCTCCGAATCTTCCGAGTCCTCCGAGTCCTCTAAGTCCTCGGGCTCCTCAAGCTTTAGTTTCGCAAGCCCCAACCTCCGTCTCCTGAAAAAAAATTAATTCTTTGGATACACCCATTATTATTAGCCCATTGTGAGACTCTTAACGAATCGGAGAAAAATCTCTCAACGATCGGAGAACCGCCCTCTGATCCTCTGATCCTCTGCGTCTTAGTTTACTTGAAGCGCTTTCGGTTGATTCCATCTCTCTTTTTTATCTTTGGGTTCTTATACGATCCAGAGCGGATAAGAACCCAAAGATCGAAATAGAGACATAATGTACCAAAAACGCTTCAAGTAAACTAAGATGCAGAGGATCAGAGAGCGATTCTCTTAGCATTGAGAGTTTTTTCTCCGATCGTTGAAAGTCAAAGATATTATTGTTTCTAAGGGGGTGGAGGAGTACACTGTGTCTCACAATGGGATAACAACAATAGATGTATACATAGAATTTTTTTCAAGAGACGGAGGTTGGGGCTTACCTTATGAAGCATAGCAAACTGAAGCTTGAGGAACCGGAGGACTCAGAGGATTCAGAGTTAGACGATCATTCTGAAAGTTACCTCCCCATAGCACAATGATCACCTAAGATCCGACTCCTTCGAGTCCTTTGACACCTCTGAGTCCTCCAGTTCCTCAAGCTTTAGTTTGCTCTTCTTCTCGAGGGTAAGCCCCAACCTCCGTCTCCTTAAATAAATTATTTGGATACACCTTGTGTTGTGAATGAGGTAGTTTCAACAATACACTCCTCTATGAATCTTGCCTCTGTAAAGAGATGTCTTCACGAGAAGTTTGCAGAGACATTACACTCACCAAGAAATAGCAAATCTAGTGGAACAATTGATCGCCTAAATTCTGACTCCTCCGAGTCCTTGGACTCCTCTAAGTCCTCCAACTCCTTAAGCTTTAGTTTCCATTGGGCGATGTGACAGAGAAGATGAGTGAGAAGAAAGAGGCAGAGTTACAGAGAAAGGGAAAGAAGAGAGAAAAGAATATGCGGCAGGGAAGGGAAAAAAAAAGGGAAATAAATGAGAGAGAGGAAGATTGGAGAAGAAAAAGAGAGAGAAATGGGAGAGAATGATACAAGAAAAGAAGAGGGAGAGAAAGAAGATGAGGCTGGGGAGAAAAAAAGGAGGATAAAACAAATACAATATAGAGGACATGCTAGGGTTTCTAGGTAATAAGACTTTTTAACATATTTGGACTTAAAGTTTGACTTTCAACATATTTGAGCCTAAATTGGGTTAATGATTGGTTTGAAGTTTGGATTAGATAATAAATAACAAACATAAATAAATAAAATTAATATATATTTCATTTAATTCGGTTTGGTTTTTTAATCAACAAAATCAAAAATGAACCAATAATTTTTATACGGTTTTTTCAAACTTTGATTCGTTATTCAATTCAATTTTTTTCGGTTTTCAATTTTTCAATCTCACCCCTTAACAGCGAACGAGGACGATGCTATCAAGTATGAGGCGATTGTGGAGATTTGGAAGGAGGATTGAAAGTTGCAGTTGTTGGACTAGTCTTCATTTTGATTCACTAGCGCCAAAGAACACGCCATCTCATTGTCGTGGCCCCATTGGAGTTGGTGTTTGCTGCAGTGCTTTGCAGTTATTGGTACTTTGCATACACCACTGAGTCATTTCTCTCACACAACACAAATAGAAACAAAAGAAAAAGAAACAGAGCTTTCTGCTCTGTTTGTTTGAAAATTAGCTTGATATATCATAGATACAAAACTCAGTAAAGCATTGATATTTTAGTAATGGAATTAAGTGAAATGAGGGTCATAAACCAAATACACTAGAGCAGCTTCCGTAATACAGTACACTGTTAATACAACGTTCGTGCTATTCATCCATTATTTTGTAGAGATAAATTTACACATGACATTATGTTATTTAAACATTACAATTGCGGTGTACTAATGTTATACAAGTCTTTATTCATAGTAGGATCGAAAACTTATGATTAGAATGTTGACCCGGGTTTTCCACTTTCCACTTATGAACAATTTTCTCTACAACCTTGTAGCATTTCTCGGAAAATAACTCTTACCTTACAAGATGATGAAAGAAGCATAATATTAGTGTTCACCCTATCCCTACGGATACACCTCTTTGTCCATTAAATTGTGATTAATGTATTTTCGTCATACAACATTCTTAGCCGCCTCATCGGAGAAGGAAATGTAGAATGGCCAAAACATGTTTTAACAAAAACGGTTTAGTTTAATACATCATGATGTGACCGAAAAATTCAGAAAATAAGTCACTGTAGTAATCAAAATAAATTAGCTAGGAGACTATGGCAGCCTGTTTTTCTTCTCTTTTTCTTTTTCTGGACAGCGGCGGCAGTCCAACTCTAGGCAATGGCGTTGGCCAACATGGAATCACATATGTCCAGACGTCTCTCCAAGGCCAAAAATCAAAAGTGTTACGACCATACCTTTGACCTCTAGGTTTCTCTAAAGTTCTTGCTTGAATGTTGCATTTGATTATGTGTCCACCCATCTCCAAGTATAAAATATCCCCATCATTCGGGTCCACTGCTAGCACCCGAATCTTGTAGCGCAATCTTATACAATCGTTGAGGAAATCATGCTTCCCCACATCCAATTCGTCCAAGGAAGCCTTGTGTATCAAACACCATTTGACTCTTCCTCCTCCGGCTGCCTCATCTTCTTTCAACTCCGAGACACATACAATGAGAGGGCGACCATCATTATAGGGATTAGAAAATGTTTCTGGTGGCATCCACGTCTGTAATTGGCACATCCGCAGGCGCCCTCGGCAAATCCCTAGACACGCAACCGTTTTTGTATAGTCCAAAGGCTCATCAAACTCAATGAACCGACACCCATAGTTACCGTTGTGCGGTGCAAACGGATCAAACCCGATAACGCCACCATAACTCGGCCAATACAACTTTCCATTGTAAGCAATGCCTGGACGGTTGAAGGTGAAATCAAAACTAATACCTTGTTGTGGACATGATACAACTGATTCTCTCCATTCACCAGTTTCTGAAGAGAAGATGTCCACCTTAAATTGAGATAAATAGTTTCCAAGTTGAATAATTCGCACAACCCTGCACCGATACTCATCATTGGTGGTTATACTAGTACCAGTACTGCCACCATTATCTTGTTCTTGGCTGGCATAGTAGGGATCGCAGATGAATCCCACTTGTGCGATCTTGTGGTGTGGGGGGGGCGGGAGGAAGGGCAACACATTGCCGGGCGTTTGGATTGCATATGTAGTATTTATGTGGATCATCCTTGGTCAGGCAGCACAAAACTAAGTCATTATACATGGCCACCACTAGCTTTTCTTTTGTGCCTTTAAACCGCGGGATGAGGTGAAGAGCTGCAATGCTTGTTTTCCAAAGCAGAGCATCGAAGATGATATGACGAAAGGTGAATCCGGCGGGGGAAGGTTTGGCGGTAGTGTTCGAGAACAAGAGAGTACGCAGCAGCGTAATGGGTTTGTTCCTATCAATTTGCATGCATAAAATGCGGGCAGCAAAATAAGAATTAGAGATGAGAGCCAACCACCGCTTGCACACACGCTTATTTCGACGAGCGTATTTGTAAGGAAGTCGGCAAAGGATTTCAACCAATACGCCATCAGGCAGATCATTGATGAGGAGGAGTTTTGATGCCAACTGCTCATCAGAAGCAGAAGGCAGGGGCTGGGATCCCATGGCCGCAGGAATCGGACAACCAACTGCAATTAAAAATTCTAAAATTCTAATATGCAATCCAACACTGAATATCTCCTACTTATATACACAGCGAATCCGAAACCTAATCGAAAAAGGAAATCATTTTCGGGTAGGAAATAAAAATCCGATAAAATTCAAATTAGAATAGGAAACTAACTCACCTGCTTGGTGTCTTCGCCGCTGTGAAGAAAATGGGTCGAGAGAGAGGATGTCGGCGATGATGGGTGTGACCGGAAGATGGGGCTCCGGCTGCAACATCGATCGGGTTTATGCCATCCACCGTTCATACTTTTTTTTTTTTTTTTGGTGAACAAAACAATTCCACCGTTCATACTTTGTCACCAAAAGCCATATTGCTTTTGGATGAGATCGACCACGATGATTGAAGAAAGGCAAGGGTCTCGGAGAGAGGGAGTTCCAGAGAGACAGGATGAAGCGAGGGGCACAGAGAGAGAGAGAGTCAGGCAGAGGAGGGCGTCAAAGGGGTAAAAATTTTGGGAGGAGGGAAGATTAAAAAATTTCTGGCCGCACGATCTCAACCAACGGTGAAGATGAAGCGTCCGGAGAGAGATCCGGAGAGGATCTGGATCCTTTGGATGGTATTCCTATGGCTACATTTAAACTATTTTTTAGCCAAAATTGTCTTTGAAATTTGCATAACACATTAATTTGATCCTAAGATTGAAAATCAATAGAAATTGTCCATGTGATTGTCCATCATCCATTATTTTGGTCATTTCGTTAAAAACTCTGTTAAGTATTCCGGAGCTCTTGGCAGAAAGTTTAGGCAATTTTCAAAGTTTCGTAACTTAATTGTTTCTTAACCAAATTCGACCCATAATATATCAAAATGAAGATAGGAAAGTGTAGAACAAGATTATACCTATTTTGAAGCGCAATGGTTGATGGAGATGGCCGGAAAATGGCCTAAAAGGTGACTGGTCCGCAGGAAAACTGGAAAACTAGGTAAACTTTAAACGTTTATAACTTATTCAATACTCAACAAAATCGAGTGATTCAGAAATTAAAATCATACTTCTTAACGAGACAAAGAGAATGGTACCTTTCTTGACGGCTAACTCGCCGTATTTGGTCGGAAAACGGCTCGAAATTGGCTTTCTTAGTCTCGAGTTAGCCACTTTTTAATCATTTTCCGATCAAAACACGGTGAATTAGTCATCAAGAAAGGTATCATTCTCTTCGTATCATTAAGAAGTATGATTTTCATTTTTTGAATCATTCGATTTCGTTAAGTATTGAAGAAGTTATGAACGTCTAAAGTTTATCCAGTTTCTGGCGAGTTTTCCAATTTTCCCTCAAACCAGTCACCTTTCAGACTATTTTGTGGTCATCTCTGTCAACCATTAGGCTTCCAAATAGGTATAATCTTGTTCTGCACTTTCCTATCTTCATTTTGATATATTATGGGTCGAATTTGGTTAAGAAACGATTGAGTTACAAAGCTTTGAAAATTACCCAAACTTCCGGCCAAGAGTTTCGAGATACTTAACGGAGTTTTTAACGGAATGACCAAAATAATGGATGGTGGACAATCTCAGATACCATTTCTATTGATTTTCAATCTCAGGGACTAAAGTGATATGTTATGTAAATTTTAGGCACCATTTTGGCTACAAAAATCAACTACATATTAATAGAACATTTTTTTATCAATCAGAAGAGGGTGAAAATACAATTTAGTCTTCTATCTCAACAAAAAAGTTAAGGACAATAACTTAACTTTACAAAATAAAATTTTGCAGTTTTTTCTTTAAGCCTCATTTACAGATGATTTTAACAACACAAAAATAAATATTTATAAAATATGTTGCAGTCCTATTTAGAATAGGAATATGATTGTGTAAATCCTAGTAGATATATGAATGTATCTTATATTCCTATTAGGAGTTGATTACCTATTAAATGTTGTAACCTAAATAGAAAGGTTTTTACCTATCCTGCTACTATAAATAAAGGCACAATGGGGTGAATCAAACACACCTCACAATTATACATCTATCTCTTCTTCTTTCTATGCCGCACCCTCTCACTCTATATGGTCTACATAATTGTTTAGTAAATTATGCCTACAACACGTTATCATCACGTTCTTGACACTGCGATAAAGATAATTTATTATTCACTAAGGGGAGTATTACGTTTTAATCATTATTTTTTATGATTAATTTATTATTTTATTGATATACATGCTATTGATTCAATTTAATTTTTTGTGTTGAACATGATACAACGCATTAGAGATGCAATTCCGGCTCTCCGAGAATGATCTTCTACAAAATTCAAAGATTTTTGTTGTTTTCTGCCAATCAGGTACGCTTAAAATAAAGTAAGATATTTGAAACGACCATGAATCATGAAAATATTCACCATGATGCATGAACCCCCTATATTTATAATTTTCATTCGGCTATATATATTGTATATGTTTCATATATTGGGGTTTGGATGCGAGTTGTGGAACGGGACGGCCCATCTTCTAATAATAGTAAAAAAGGCCACAAACGGCAAGCTTTGATTTGTCGTTCATACTTCATAGAAATCCAACTTCTGGAACTAGTCTTCTTCCTTCGGTAGAACAGAGCACGGCTAGCCCTGCCCAACCCAAGTTTACAGGTATGCTTATATATTGGAATAATTTCAAATTTATGACCGTGTTTAATTTGGTCTGAAAATTCAAATGAATTGATGTTTGAAAATTCATGGTCATTGATAGGATTTTTACTACTTATGTGAATGCAATAAAAACCTCCTATTTTACTTGCAAGAATCACAAGGTTATTGTAGTATAAACGGATCTCGCAAGATCATTCTCCACATGGATTATTAAGTAATTCGAAACAAATCAGATTCCAATTAATGATTGTAAAGTAGAAATTTAGATGATTGATTTTATAACCTACTTAAATTAAAAACGAATTTAACTATTAATGATAAGACAATCTGCAATATTAAAGCTAGAGAGAAAAGAAAACAGTTTTGAGAGAAATCAAATTAAGAAAGCACTAGGGTTCCACCATCACCTAGCAATCCTATGAATTTTTACCAATTACTTATGATCTACACATGCCACTTTGAAGGTTAGATTTTCCTAATTCATATTCTACTTGGAACCTCCAACATAGAACGTATATCTAACATGCAACCCGTCCGGACGTTCGGATCAAATCTAAACATGAAAGACTCATTATGCTTTATGAAAATCCTTTGAAAAACCATGCAATCTTTAAGACGTGATATTCATCCTAAGATAAATTACAATTATTAATCACAAGAAGCCAGCGTCAATTTCAGGGAACCTTCCGACCAAAATTGCATCAAATTACTTTTCTAAAGATCCTAATGGTGATCAGGCATTAAGACAATTAGATAGTTTTTATCCCGGTGATTAACAATTCAAAATATGCATGCAATCAATCATAAGCAATTAAATAAAAATCACATATTCATGCTAAGGCTCAAGGCTTCGCCCTAGCAATAGAAATTAGTTCCGCATATTCATAATTGAAATCGTAGAAAATATATTCAAGAAAAGGATTGAAAGCACCTTCAAGCAAAAAGTCTTCAAAACCCTAACAATTCTCTCTGTCTCCCAAAATTGCATAAAGGAAAGCGTGATCTAAAACTGTAGACGGCTAAGCAATATATTTGCTAAGCCACCACCAAAACCCTAGAAAACATAACCCTAAATTAAATGATAAAAATTCGTCTAAAATCTGAACAGCCACGTTTTGGCCCATAAGCTGCTCCAAAACTGGCCCAATAAAGCTGGATTTAATGTTTGGAATATTCTGAACACTTTTCCAGAAGGCCTCGAACCCATCCGATGTCATCTTGGGCTCCAAAAACGCAATTTAAGCCCAAAAACGTCACTTTCCAGCACTGCGCATTGCTTCTTTATTTCATCGCCAGAAAATCACCGCTTGGTGGAAAAATCCCAAATTTTGATACGATCAAGCTAAGTGACTCACGAACGTCCTCCAACTGGAATTACTCCAAAATTCGTCCATTTGGTCCTGTTTGCTCCAGAGGAAGTCGAAAGTCCTATATTAAAAATACAATTCGAAGTATCAAAATTCTTCCAAAATATTAACCAAAATATACTAAGATTAGGGTAAAATATATAATATAAAATCTACTCATCAGTCATCGTTTTCACTCCTCAGCAGTCAGCTTCTCCACCGAGCGCCGGATTTGGGAAAGCAGTTCCGATGAGCAGCAAGCAGAGACGGCCGCCGGACCCAGTGGCGGTTCCGAGGTGCCACCGCGGCTCCGTCATGGACCTCTCTTTTCATCCTTCCCAACCACTCCTGTTCACCGGGTACGATTCAGTACACTTATGCAACCTACCCTTTTGTTATCATTTCTCAAAAATTAAAAAATTGGTGCTTTTTTTTTGTTTTTTTTTTTTTGTTCTAGTTCATCAGATGGCGAGCTGAGGATCTGGGATACTTACCAGCATCGGACTGTATCATCAGCTGGGTAATTTAAATACCAATTTTCCATTTTATTTTTATGATTATGAAGTTCATACCTTTTTTTTGTTTTTGGAATGAAAAGTAAAATTTATTTGCAACTTTCAGGGTGCATAATGCAGCACATGGTATTGCTTCTGTTGCTTGTACTGCCAACAGAGTTATCAGGTGATTTTCTTTTCATTTTTTCTACTTTTATTTGTTTATTGGCTACACAAACGCACACACACACACATCCTGTATTAGTAGTAGAATTGAAATTTGAAAATGTTGGTGTAGCCAGGGCAGGGATGGGACGGTTAAATGTTGGGGATATTGAAGGTGGAGGTCTGCTCAGGTTCTTAGCTAATTCCCATAATTGTAGCCTATAGTTATTCGGTTTCCATTGTACACTGCTTCATTTGTTATTTTTGATCATGGCATGCGCCTCATTATTTTTGAACCTTGATATCGCCTTGGTAGGACTCCGTCTGTTACAATCAAGACAAACTCTTACCACTTTTTGTAAACTTTCCTAGGTGAAGATGCCTCAATCTTGTTCTACACTAGTGGACGGGGTTAAGTGTCATGATGGAGAGGACAGAAGGGTTAGGGGGACCACTGATGAAGATACTCTAGATGACAGTAGAGACAACGTTGAAGGGAGTCTGCCTGAGCATCCCAGCGCCTTTGAAGGTTTATTTAAATTTGAAACTGATATTCCGGTCAGGAGTGTTTTCTGTGCACTTTAGCTACGTTCTCGCAGGAGATGAAGGCTTAGACTTTAGATATATCTATTAGTACTGTATTTTCAATTTGTTTTCTTTTTTATTGCTCTGTGATGGTTCAGAAACAAGAATGTTGATAGACAGTTTTTGAAAACAGAAAATACTGAAGATGAATTTATCTAAATATGTTGCTGTAGCAGGGGAGCAGACTTCTGAGGTTTGTATCTAACCTTGAGTATGTCTAGTTTGATTTTCATTTTTGAAGCCCCGATTACTCACTACCTTCATGTGGTTTGCAAAGGTTGAGATTTGGGATCTTAATACTGCAGAAAGGTTTGCACGGCTTCCTCAAAGCTGCTTTGGTGGTTCCCCGGGTATTTCTTCCAAGGAGAGAGGTCCCATTCTAATTCATTCAACATTTTGCTTACTAGTTTCCGGGTTTGATTGTGTTTCAGTTTATACCAGATCGAAATAGCTATCAAACCAGACAAGATATTACTAGAAAGTTATAAACACGCATAAATGTTGCAGCCAAGAATCAAATATGAGCCAAAAAGCAAATGAAAATCATCTCAAGCTCCAATGTGTCAAAAATACTGATGTCGGTAAATTTCATATGACGAAGAAAAACGCACCGCTCCTACATGATGCCTAACTTGTGAAGAAGATCCTGCTGTTTCCTTTAGCCCCTTCCAGGATTGGTCATCCACTCCTAAAAATCCGAAATTCCAACCAAGGAATCATGAAGCTGGACGTGGACTCGCAGTAATGTTGAGGAATGTAAGGAATCATGAAGCTGGACGTGGACTCGCAGTAATGTTGACGTGGATTCTTACATTCCTCAACATTACTGCGAGTCCACGTCCAGCTTCACAAGTTAGGCATCATGTAGCCCCTTCCAGGATTGGTCATCCACTCCTAAAAATCCGAAATTCCAACCAAGGAATCATGAAGCTGGACGTGGACTCGCAGTAATGTTGAGGAATGTAAGGAATCATGAAGCTGGACGTGGACTCGCAGTAATGTTGACGTGGATTCTTACATTCCTCAACATTACTGCGAGTCCACGTCCAGCTTCATGATTCCTTGGTTGGAATTTCGGATTTTTAGGAGTGGATGACCAATCCTGGAAGGGGCTAAAGGAAACAGCAGGATCTTCTTCACAAGTTAGGCATCATGTAGGAGCGGTGCGTTTTTCTTCGTCATATGAAATTTACCGACATCAGTATTTTTGACACATTGGAGCTTGAGATGATTTTCATTTGCTTTTTGGCTCATATTTGATTCTTGGCTGCAACATTTATGCGTGTTTATAACTTTCTAGTAATATCTTGTCTGGTTTGATAGCTATTTCGATCTGGTATAAACTGAAACACAATCAAACCCGGAAACTAGTAAGCAAAATGTTGAATGAATTAGAATGGGACCTCTCTCCTTGGAAGAAATACCCGGGGAACCACCAAAGCAGCTTTGAGGAAGCCGTGCAAACCTTTCTGCAGTATTAAGATCCCAAATCTCAACCTTTGCAAACCACATGAAGGTAGTGAGTAATCGGGGCTTCAAAAATGAAAATCAAACTAGACATACTCAAGGTTAGATACAAACCTCAGAAGTCTGCTCCCCTGCTACAGCAACATATTTAGATAAATTCATCTTCAGTATTTTCTGTTTTCAAAAACTGTCTATCAACATTCTTGTTTCTGAACCATCACAGAGCAATAAAAAAGAAAACAAATTGAAAATACAGTACTAATAGATATATCTAAAGTCTAAGCCTTCATCTCCTGCGAGAACGTAGCTAAAGTGCACAGAAAACACTCCTGACCGGAATATCAGTTTCAAATTTAAATAAACCTTCAAAGGCGCTGGGATGCTCAGGCAGACTCCCTTCAACGTTGTCTCTACTGTCATCTAGAGTATCTTCATCAGTGGTCCCCCTAACCCTTCTGTCCTCTCCATCATGACACTTAACCCCGTCCACTAGTGTAGAACAAGATTGAGGCATCTTCACCTAGGAAAGTTTACAAAAAGTGGTAAGAGTTTGTCTTGATTGTAACAGACGGAGTCCTACCAAGGCGATATCAAGGTTCAAAAATAATGAGGCGCATGCCATGATCAAAAATAACAAATGAAGCAGTGTACAATGGAAACCGAATAACTATAGGCTACAATTATGGGAATTAGCTAAGAACCTGAGCAGACCTCCACCTTCAATATCCCCAACATTTAACCGTCCCATCCCTGCCCTGGCTACACCAACATTTTCAAATTTCAATTCTACTACTAATACAGGATGTGTGTGTGTGCGCGTTTGTGTAGCCAATAAACAAATAAAAGTAGAAAAAATGAAAAGAAAATCACCTGATAACTCTGTTGGCAGTACAAGCAACAGAAGCAATACCATGTGCTGCATTATGCACCCTGAAAAGTTGCAAATAAATTTTTACTTTTCATTCCAAAAACAAAAAAAAGGTATGAACTTCATAATCATAAAAATAAAATGGAAAATTGGTATTTAAATTACCCAGCTGATGATACAGTCCGATGCTGGTAAGTATCCCAGATCCTCAGCTCGCCATCTGATGAACTAGAACAAAAAAAAAAAAACAAAAAAAAAGCACCAATTTTTTAATTTTTGAGAAATGATAACAAAAGGGTAGGTTGCATAAGTGTACTGAATCGTACCCGGTGAACAGGAGTGGTTGGGAAGGATGAAAGAGAGGTCCATGACGGAGCCGCGGTGGCACCTCGGAACCGCCACTGGGTCCGGCGGCCGTCTCTGCTTGCTGCTCATCGGAACTGCTTTCCCAAATCCGGCGCTCGGTGGAGAAGCTGACTGCTGAGGAGTGAAAACGATGACTGATGAGTAGATTTTATATTATATATTTTACCCTAATCTTAGTATATTTTGGTTAATATTTTGGAAGAATTTTGATACTTCGAATTGTATTTTTAATATAGGACTTTCGACTTCCTCTGGAGCAAAACAGGACCAAATGGACGAATTTTGGAGTAATTCCAGTTGGAGGACGTTCGTGAGTCACTTAGCTTGATCGTATCAAAATTTGGGATTTTTCCACCAAGCGGTGATTTTCTGGCGATGAAATAAAGAAGCAATGCGCAGTGCTGGAAAATGACGTTTTTGGGCTTAAATTGCGTTTTTGGAGCCCAAGATGACATCGGATGGGTTCGAGGCCTTCTGGAAAAGTGTTCAGAATATTCCAAACATTAAATCCAGCTTTATTGGGCCAGTTTTGGAGCAGCTTATGGGCCAAAACGTGGCTGTTCAGATTTTAGACGAATTTTTATCAATTAATTTAGGGTTATGTTTTCTAGGGTTTTGGTGGTGGCTTAGCAAATATATTGCTTAGCCGTCTACAGTTTTAGATCACGCTTTCCTTTATGCAATTTTGGGAGACAGAGAGAATTGTTAGGGTTTTGAAGACTTTTTGCTTGAAGGTGCTTTCAATCCTTTTCTTGAATATATTTTCTACGATTTCAATTATGAATATGCGGAACTAATTTCTATTGCTAGGGCGAAGCCTTGAGCCTTAGCATGAATATGTGATTTTTATTTAATTGCTTATGATTGATTGCATGCATATTTTGAATTGTTAATCACCGGGATAAAAACTATCTAATTGTCTTAATGCCTGATCACCATTAGGATCTTTAGAAAAGTAATTTGATGCAATTTTGGTCGGAAGGTTCCCTGAAATTGACGATGGCTTCTTGTGATTAATAATTGTAATTTATCTTAGGATGAATATCACGTCTTAAAGATTGCATGGTTTTTCAAAGGATTTTCATAAAGCATAATGAGTCTTTCATGTTTAGATTTGATCCGAACGTCCGGACGGGTTGCATGTTAGATATACGTTCTATGTTGGAGGTTCCAAGTAGAATATGAATTAGGAAAATCTAACCTTCAAAGTGGCATGTGTAGATCATAAGTAATTGGTAAAAATTCATAGGATTGCTAGGTGATGGTGGAACCCTAGTGCTTTCTTAATTTGATTTCTCTCAAAACTGTTTTCTTTTCTCTCTAGCTTTAATATTGCAGATTGTCTTATCATTAATAGTTAAATTCGTTTTTAATTTAAGTAGGTTATAAAATCAATCATCTAAATTTCTACTTTACAATCATTAATTGGAATCTGATTTGTTTCGAATTACTTAATAATCCATGTGGAGAATGACCTTGCGAGATCCGTTTATACTACAATAACCTTGTGATTATTGCAAGTAAAATAGGAGGTTTTTATTGCATTCACATAAGTAGTAAAAATCCTATCAATGACCATGAATTTTCAAACATCAATTCATTTGAATTTTCAGACCAAATTAAACACGGTCATAAATTTGAAATTATTCCAATATATAGCATACCTGTAAACTTGGGTTGGGCAGGGCTAGCCGTGCTCTGTTCTACCGAAGGAAGAAGACTAGTTCCAGAAGTTTGGATTTCTATGAAGTATGAACGACAAAATCAAAGCTTGCCGTTTGTGGCCTTTTTTACTATTATTAGAAGATGGGCCGTCCCGTTCCACAACTCGCATCCAAACCCCAATATATGAAACATATACAATATATATAGCCGAATGAAAATTATAAATATAGGGGGTTCATGCATCATGGTGAATATTTTCATGATTCATGGTCGTTTCAAATATCTTACTTTATTTTAAGCGTACCTGATTGGCAGAAAACAACAAAAATCTTTGAATTTTGTAGAAGATCATTCTCGGAGAGCCGGAATTGCATCTCTAATGCGTTTGTATCATGTTCAACACAAAAAATTAAATTGAATCAATAGCATGTATATCAATAAAATAATAAATTAATCATAAAAAATAATGATTAAAACGTAATACTCCCCTTAGTGAATAATAAATTATCTTTATCGCAGTGTCAAGAACGTGATGATAACGTGTTGTAGGCATAATTTACTAAACAATTATGTAGACCATATAGAGTGAGAGGGTGCGGCATAGAAAGAAGAAGAGATAGATGTATAATTGTGAGGTGTGTTTGATTCACCCCATTGTGCCTTTATTTATAGTAGCAGGATAGGTAAAAACCTTTCTATTTAGGTTACAACATTTAATAGGTAATCAACTCCTAATAGGAATATAAGATACATTCATATATCTACTAGGATTTACACAATCATATTCCTATTCTAAATAGGACTGCAACATATTTTATAAATATTTTATTTTTGTGTTGTTAAAATCATCTGTAAATGAGGCTTAAAGAAAAAACTGCAAAATTTTATTTTGTAAAGTTAAGTTATTGTCCTTAACTTTTTTTGTTGAGATAGAAGACCTAAATTGTATTTTCACCCTCTTCTGATTGATAAAAAAATGTTCTATTAATATGTAGTTGATTTTTGTAGCCAAAATGGTGCCTAAAATTTACATAACATATCACTTTAGTCCCTGAGATTGAAAATCAATAGAAATGGTATCTGAGATTGTCCACCATCCATTATTTTGGTCATTCCGTTAAAAAACTCCGTTAAGTATCTCGAAACTCTTGGCCGGAAGTTTGGGTAATTTTCAAAGCTTTGTAACTCAATCGTTTCTTAACCAAATTCGACCCATAATATATCAAAATGAAGATAGGAAAGTGCAGAACAAGATTATACCTATTTGGAAAGCCTAATGGTTGACAGAGATGACCACAAAATAGTCTGAAAGGTGACTGGTTTGAGGGAAAATTGGAAAACTCGCCAGAAACTGGGTAAACTTTAGACGTTCATAACTTCTTCAATACTTAACGAAATCGAATGATTCAAAAAATGAAAATCATACTTCTTAATGATACGAAGAGAATGATACCTTTCTTGATGACTAATTCACCGTGTTTTGATCGGAAAATGATTAAAAAGTGGCTAACTCGAGACTAAGAAAGCCAATTTCGAGCCGTTTTCCGACCAAATACGGCGAGTTAGCCGTCGAGAAAGGTACCATTCTCTTTGTCTCGTTAAGAAGTATGATTTTAATTTCTGAATCACTCGATTTGTTGAGTATTGAATAAGTGTTATAAACGTTTAAAGTTTACCTAGTTTTCCAGTTTTTCCTGCGGACCAGTCACCTTTTAGGCCATTTTCCGGCCATCTCCATCAACCATTGCGCTTCAAAATAGGTATAATCTTGTTCTACACTTTCCTATCTTCATTTTGATATATTATGGGTCGAATTTGGTTAAGAAACAATTAAGTTACGAAACTTTGAAAATTGCCTAAACTTTCTGCCAAGAGCTCCGGAATACTTAACAGAGTTTTTAACGAAATGACCAAAATAATAATGGATGGAGCAATCACATGGACAATTTCTATTGAATTTTCAATCTTAGGATCAAATTAATGTGTTATGCAAATTTCAAAGACAATTTTGGCTAAAAAATAGTTTAAATGTAGCCATAGGAATACCATCCAAAGGATCCAGATCCTCTCCGGATCTCTCTCCGGACGCTTCATCTTCACCGTTGGTTGAGATCGTGCGGCCAGAAAATTTTTAATCTTCCCTCCTCCCAAAATTTTTACCCCTTTGACGCCCTCCTCTGCCTGACTCTCTCTCTCTCTCTGTGCCCCTCGCTTCATCCTGTCTCTCTGGAACTCCCTCTCTCCGAGACCCTTGCCTTTCTTCAATCATCGTGGTCGATCTCATCCAAAAGCAATATGGCTTTGGTGACAAAGTATGAACGGTGGAATTGTTTTGTTCACCAAAAAAAAAAAAAAAAGTATGAACGGTGGATGGCATAAACCCGATCGATGTTGCAGCCGGAGCCCCATCTTCCGGTCACACCCATCATCGCCGACATCCTCTCTCTCGACCCATTTTCTTCACAGCGGCGAAGACACCAAGCAGGTGAGTTAGTTTCCTATTCTAATTTTGAATTTTATCGGATTTTTTTTCCTACCCGAAAATGATTTCCTTTTTCGATTAGGTTTCGGATTCGCTGTGTATATAAGTAGGAGATATTCAGTGTTGGATTGCATATTAGAATTTTAGAATTTTTAATTGCAGTT